CCCCTCTCCCCCCCGAATCCTTCACAGCGGTGCCCCCTCTCCCCTCTCCCTTCAGGGGCCTTCACGAGGCTGGAGTAACCACTGGGAACTGAGATGGGGCCTCCTGGAAAATCGGGTTCAGATCTCAGGAGAGATACAGAATCAACTCCCATCTCAGGAACCAGTGCTCTGTGTGGCTGTCACGAGGCGTTTTCACAGGTCCTGTGTCTCTTGGTCCTGGCAGCAACCCTTCTGCATGGGAGGCATTTGTCCTCATTTATAGCCGAGGGTACCAAGACCCCACAAGTTGCCCAAAGCCACACGGCCGGAAAGAAGTAGAACAAAGGCATGAAAGCTCCTGTTCGGGAGAGGTAACAGAGAACGGCCAAGGCGAGGATCCTACCACTTGCCAGCTGGGGGGCCCTGGGTAGGTGGTGTTACCTCTCTGCACCCCAGTTTCCGTAGCTTAACACAGGGCAATGGTGGTGCCTTCCTCACAGGGTCGTGGTGCGGGTGAAGCAAGCCAGTGTTTATAAAGTACTTTAACAGCACCTGCATTTAGTGTTTTTGTGCGTTCTCTTTGCAGGATGGGAGGGGTCTGGAGGCCCTCCTGGCAGAAGCAACCAGCCCACAGCCCTGAGGGTAGAAGGCTCGCCGGCACATCATCCAAGCAAAAGAAAGCTCTAGCAGGCGCTCCTGGAGAAACTAGGCTCAGGGCAAGTCCAAGCACTGGGGGTGGGGGTGGGGTGGGGTGGGGTGGGTTTGAGGAGGCCAGAAGGAGAACAGTGATCCCTTCAACACTCTTCCACCCTTACTTTGGATTCTCCTGCTATATAAAGTCTGAACCCCTCAATTCAGCCTTTTATTCGAACTGCCTCTGGATACCCCAGGAACTACAGAATGAGTCTGACGCTGAGCAGTCCCAACTGCACATGTACAAACTTCATGACTGCACAGCGCTCTGCCTAACCCCATCGCACGGAAACCTCCCAACAGCTGCGTGAGGTCAGGAAGGAGGAAATTCTCAGTATCTTCCCTTTACAGATCAGTACACTGGAGCCCAGACAGGGAAAGTGACATCCCTGACATCCCTCGGGTCGCACAGCTGGTAAGTGCTCTAGCACTGAGACAACACCCATATCTTTGCCTTGCTTCTGCTTTTTAGGGCATCTCCCAAGACGGGTGACGGAGGAGTCTATGGCTTGGGGGGAGCAAGCTTTTCTGTAAGACCCTGGTCATAGCAGAGGAAAGTGGGCCCCCACTTGTTAGCTGAGATCGAGATTCCCTGCCCTTCCTTCCCAAGATGGAACCAGGCACAGGACTCTCAACTGAATAGAGCCAGCACTGATAGGGGGCCCTGGCCCTACTAAGGAGCTCTGCTCAGCTGGGGCATATCTACTATAGGAGCAGCAGGGCAAGGCTGTAGGGGTGTGGCAGGGAGGGAGGAGTATGGGTCTGTCCTGCCAACACTGCGGGGACCTGGCTTCATCTGGGCTCCCAAACCTGGCAGGACTGATCCAACCTCACAAAGGAGGTTGCAAAAGGCAGACTCAGTTGTTGTCTAGCAAATGCCTTGAGCCTAGGTCCTTGCAATGGTCTTGGCTCCAAAAGCTCCAAAAGCTTGGCTCCAAAAGCGAGAAAAGTCTTATAGGTCCCAGTCACAAAGGATGAGTCCGACCCAATGCTGTGGGCTTTACCTGAGTCATCCCAGTCCCTCCTCTCACCATCCCTTTGGGGAGTTGGTCCTACTTAAAGAGAGTAGCAAGGAGGCACCCTGGTGGCTCAGTCGGTTAAGCGTCCAACTCTTGATTTCGGCTCAGGTTATGATCTCAGGCTCGTGAGATCGAGCCCCACATCAGGCTCCATGCTTAGCTTGGAATCTGCTTGAGATTCTCTCTCTCCCTCTGCTCCACCCTCTGTTCTCTCTCTCAAATAAAAAAAAAATCTTAAAATAAAAAGAAATAAAGCTGAGGAAAGTGAGGCTCAGAGGGGTTATGTCACTTTTCCAGATCCTACAGCTAGAGAGTAGCAGGTGTTCATCTAGTCAAAGCTCATGTTCCTTTCATGTGTCAAGCTGCCTGGGCCATGGGTACCCAGACATTTGGTCAAAATTATTCTGCGTGTGTTGGTGAGAGCGTTTCTGAGTGAAATTAACATCTGAATCTGGGTAAAGCAGATTGCTCTCCCTAATGTGGGCGGTGGGCCTCATCTAATCCACTGAAGACCCAAATAGAACAAAAAGGCTGAATAAGAGGGAACTCGTCCTACCAGTTGAGCTGAGCCATGAGTCTCTTCCAGGCTTCTGACGCAGCCTGAAACACCGGATCCTCTTGGATTTTGAGCCTGGGGGCTTCAGGCTGCAACTCACACCACTGGGCTCTGCTGTTCTCAGGGCTTTAGGCTCAACCTAGAACTAACTATACGTCATTCCTGTGTGTCCAGCTTGCTGATGGCAGGTCTTGGGACTTCCCGGCCTCCATAATGACGTGGCACCAATTCCTTATGGTAAATCTCTCTACAGATCTAGATCTAGATACAGATCCTATTGGTCCTGCTTCTCTGGAGTACCCTGACCAAATACAAAGACCAAACCTTAGGCTCCCCGGAACAAGCTGGCTGCATGTTTGGGTATGAAATGCCCAGCTGCCAGAGGCCAGAAATCTGAATATCTAGAACAATTGTCTAATTTAGTCCAAAAGTCCCCTTGGTTCCTAAGGCCCCAACAGGAAGCCTGGCAGGGAGGGGCCCTGCCTGGCCAAATGAACAGAGCCAAGCAGCAGAAACCTTGGTTTTCTTTTTTTTGTTTTGTTTTTGTTTTTTTCTTTTTAACCAACACCCCCCCCAACCAGTACTCAGGAAGGGGTGTGTCAACTCTCTCCAGCACCTCAATGTAAACAGCAATACTTGTGGAGTCCACTAGGTGGAGCCAGTGATCCAGCAGAAAGGTGGGGAATGCAAACTAACTCTAGGAGGGAAGGCCTGCAGGCAGGGCGTGCACCAGGCTGCGATCTTCACCAGGATCCCCTGGTTGGATAAATGCTCCCCGCCCTCAGCATGTCTTCTAGCCAATGGTGTAAAAACTCAACTCTGGGGTTCCCAAGCCCCAAGCCCTTTCGTCAGCTGTCACTGTAGCATCTCTGGACTTCAAAGTTCTCAAACCATGTTATTCCCTCCTGAGCCACCCAGCAAAATGAGCAGCCACAAAGTGAAAAAAAGTCACTGCCCCAAAACCTCGGAACTCCAGGCAGGAAGGTGGAATGGGGTGGGTCCCCTGCTGTGCCTGTTTCACTGGAGAAAGCACCCAACAGTACCTCTCACCAAGGAATCTAAAAATGGACCGGGCCAGCGAACAAGCAAGGTGGTCATGTGATGAGGGAAGGAGCCGGGACAGGGAGCAAGAAGGAAGGCCGAGAGGGGAGAAGAAGATGGCAAAGGCACTTTTCTTGACAGCGAGCAGCTCTACTTAGCTACCCGTTCTCAGCTCTCAGCCAGCATTCCTGGCCCTGGGTTGGGTCCTCCCATGAATCTTCCTGCACCTGCTCCTAGTGGGGATAAGAGCTGAGTCCTCCAGGGGTCCTCTGAGCTCTATTAGGTCAGAGACCCGAAGGCAGAGATGGGAGGCAAGGGTTTTCTCCTTGTTTCCCCTGGCTGGCCTCAGTTCAGGTCCCAGAATACTCCTTCCTTTATCAGTAGAAAAACCCTCCCCTGCCTGTCCAAGATGGTGGTCTCTCACCTTCCTTAAGGATGACAGGACAACAGCCCAGAATGCTGGCTGTGAGGGGTCCTGAACCTCACCCAGCCCCTCCACCTCCCACTTGCCCCCACCATCTTTCCAAACTTGCACCGCCTGGCAGCCACTAAGCTCAGCCTCGGCCTCTGTTGCCATGGCAACAATGTGGCTTCCCCCAAGTGGGAAGCTGGTTGCCAAGGCCCTTGTTGCCAAAGGCTATAACAGCCACCCCGGTGTGCAAAGAGGGGGGTGAGAGCTCTGTGGATGGGCGGAGGGTGGCCAAGGAGGCTGGGAGGGAAAGAAGCAGGGGGCTCTCCAGAAATGGTAGAGTCCCAGCAGGCCCCCTGCTGGAGTGGGGCTTACTGGGCCCTTTAGGATGGGAACAAGTACTCCCCGATACCTCAGTGACTGCTCCTCAGGAAGGATGGAAGAAAGGGCCCCCTTCCCAAAACATACCTGGATAAGCCCTCTACTGAGCAGGACTGGGCCCTCCAAGCCCCACCCCCACCCCCACATGGAGGAATGGCTTTGATGCTCCCCAACTCCAGAAAAACAGTCCCCAGGAGCCCCTCCGTGTCGCTCGCTTAGATGCCCCTGTACAAGCTGGATGCAGACAGAGCTGGGCCCTGCAGCCAGAAGCAGCATTAATTACAAGGACTGCAAACCTCTTAGCCTGTCTCAAAGCACGTACTTAATATTCCTTGTAAAATGCTTCTCTTTGGAGCAGAGCTCCTGTCAGTTGATAAGAGGAGAGGGGGACACCATTAGGACTCATTCCCTTCCAGAGGTGGGCAGAATAGGGCCCTTGATCTTCGGGGAACACTGCCTGAGCAGCTCACTCCACCCCGCAGAGAGCACAGAGACCAGCCTTGCTTTGCTGAGCCGGCATCTGGACGTCTACAGCCCACGGGTCACGTGTGCAGCCCCTGCCCGGCTCCGGGCCGGAGAGAAGAACTGGTTCCCTCCCCCAGACCCCATCCTGCTCGAGAGGGGCTGGTAAAGAAAGCTGAGAGAGGAAGTGAGGGTATCCAGGGAAGCAGATGGCTGGTAGAAGAAGCAGGGGTGGCAGAGAGAGCAGCAGGTGGGGGTGGGGGCGGGGAGCGCAAGGGGCCCAGGACTGGAATGAGAAGACGAGGGCACCAAGAGCATCCAGGTCCATGTTTCCCCAGCCCTGCTCCCCCCCAGTAGCATTGCAAGCAGAGCCTGGCCCGTGACCCCCAGACCTGCCTGGCCCCCTCCCCTAGAACTCCCCCATCTTCTCCAACCCCAAAGGAAAAGCAGGTGTACCTACCCCAGGTGCCAGCCCCTCAGGTGGGGTGGGGGAGATGCCATCCCCGCCGCCCTGGCCACGGGCACTGAGCTGGGGTGACATGGTGGGCGACTCGTCGATGTACGGCATGGTCTCCGAGCCCTCCGGGGGCCCCTTCTGCTCCTCATTCCCCTCTCCGTCGTAGTCGTCGGCCCCGTAGCTGAAGTCTGAGACAAGGAACAAGAAAGGCCACTGAGAGTCCTCCACGAGGGCCGCCAGGGACTGGTAGCGCAGTGGGCGCCGACGGCGACCCCCGGCTGCCATGCCCCCCGCCGCAGCATGCATGGCCTGGCCCAGGCGGGGGCTGCGCGGGGGGCCTGGGCCTCGTGAGGGGCTGGGGAGCGCCAGCAGGCCCCGCGGCTGCAGCTCCAGGGCTGCTGGGAGTCGGGGAGGAGCGGCTCTACTGTTGCCACCTGCTTAATAGCATGTCAGCCGCGGATTTCGAGCCGCTGTTTCTTTCCTTTGCCTCCTGCCTCATTCCAAGTCTAAAAATTCACAGTGGGAGCAGGAGGCAGGATGCTTCCAACTCTCCTCTCTGAGTCACCATTTTGCTTTTTATAGGGACTAAGGAGGTTGGGCGGGCCGAGCGATGTCACTTCCTGAGCCCCTCCTCCTTGGGTACCATTCGTATACCGAGCCCATCCCTGGCATGGGGCGCAGAGCAGCTTTCGGGGTGGAGGGCTGAGGCACTGCCCCCGGGGAGCCCTCCCTCCTCCGAACAAGGCCCCGGCGCGAGATGGAGCCCAGGGCTGGCTGAGTGTGGGCGAGAGGGTGGCTCCAAGGCCTGGCAGGGATGTGGTTTAATGGCAGACTCAAAAGCTGGCACTTATTTCTATAATTTCAATGGAGGCTCCCTTCGGAGAAGAGGGAAGAAAAGGCTGCAGGGAAGTCGAGCTGCCGTTTACCCGACCAGGCTGCGGAGCCCATGCACGGATGCCCCTCCTGGGGACGGCAGGCTGGGCCCACAGGGGCAGAGCCCCGCAGAAAGGCCCCCAGAGCTCCACCACAGGGGTCTCTCCTGCAGCGGCATGAGTGACCCTCTCGCTGCCCCTCACCCTGTCTGGGCCTCGTCCCATCATCTGCTCAGACGGAGCTTCTTCCTGGATGTCTTCCCTGGCGTCTCTGCTCAAAACGACAGCAGTATGGACTTCTAGCGGCTTGGTTGCTCTTGCCCAGTCGTCTCTGTGCCCCTGGGACAGGAACTGGGTGTCTCGGTCATCACTGTGTGTGCCCAGAACCCACAGGCCCACATGCGGCAGGATCTCGGGAAACGTGTGTGGAGGGAATGAATGAGTGGAGGAATGCACTGTCCCACTCAGGTCTCAGGTTTGAGCCAAATTCTCCATGGGGCCCTGGCTCCTCCCCTTCTGTCACAATATACCAGCCCCTGGGCAGCCAGCAGCCTGAGAATGGTGTCAACAGGTCACTAGGGCGTCTGGCCACGGCTGTACTCAGTCCAATCTGGCCCTTTGGCAGCCAAGAGCTTCCCCCAGGCTCGCTGCACCTGCTCCCTCTGACTTTCTCTCCAGTCCCCGTGCTGACGGCCCATTAAGCTGTCGGAGGATGTAAGCTATTATTTTTTTCCCCCCAGAACAGGCATGCATGTGAAGAACCACAGGATCAAGCCACGGAAATGTATGTAAGCCACGTACACGGAGATAGGGCCCACTGGCTGGAGAACGCAAGGCCTATGCATGAGGCTGGGAGGGGGTGAGCCGACTCTGCTATTTTTGAGGGCGGGGTAGAGGGAAGGCAAAGAAGCCACAGCATCGAGTCGGCCCAAGTCTGGCATTGTCGGAGAAAGAAGGGCACTGTCTGGTGAGGTCTCCTCACTTTGAGAAACACAAGGAGGGAATGAGACATCCTGTTAACCTCCATCTCTCCTCCAGGGGGCTCCAGGCTGCCCTGTGAGGGCCTGGAGTCAAGGTCAGGGGTGTGCGGTACAGTGAACCCTGAGCTGGCCAAAAGCTCAGATTCCAGCGGGCCATGCGGACTCTCCTGTACACTGACCTATATTCCCAGAGGTCATGGGCCCAGATCTGGGTAAGCTCCAATTCCTCCTCATCAGAGGACCAGCCATGGGCCTGCATCTCCCACTCCTCTCAATCTAGCTACACCTGGAAGGCTGTTGCTACTATCCCCAGTCTATCAGTGAGTCTCAGGAAGATCTGCCCAGAAAGGTTCTGAACCCAGGTATGTCTCCAAATGCCACCCTTTTCCCTTTGAGTTTCTAACTTCCAGAGAAGTCGACTTCCACAGCTCTCCTGATCAGGGGAGGCTGACCAAAGACCAGGAGGGAGGGGTGCCGGCCACAGCCGTGGGAGAGGCCCAGGAGTGGAGGAAAGTGCACACATAAAGCTCTCTGCAAAAGTTCTTAAATACTTTCCCTTTCGTTCCACCACCTGTCAAACACTGACAGCCCAGGAAGTCCGTCAGAGACCCAGGAGGACCCTTACCAGGAAAAGGTACAGAAAAGACAGAGAAACCAACCCTCAGAGAAAGAAGGTGCCCTGGGGACTCAGGAGGATGGAAATCTACTGAACACAGGCTTCAGTTTATGAGAAGTTGCGGATACAAAGGCTTGGCCACCAGGTCTCAAAGAGAGAGGGCAGAGGAGGCTGCTAACAGCCAATATCCGTTTCCCCTCCTAGTAACAAAAATATCATTATATTCGCAGTGGCACTGTGCCCAGTGGCTAACTAAAAGACCACTTTCCCTAGTGGTGTGGGCCACGTGATTAAGTTCCAGCCAATGAGATGTTAAGTGGATATGTATGAAACTTGAAGGAAGGGGGCTAAAAATGATTGGTTTAGCTGGAAAGCACGCCACTCCTCGCCCTGCCCCCATGGTTCCTCCTTCTGTTGCCAAAGTTTGGAAAGCAGATGGGATGGCTGGAGCTCCAGCAGCCATATTAACCATGAGGTGACACTGAGGATAGAAGCCTTCACTGAAGCTAGCCGAGCAGAAAGCTAGGAACCCAGGCTGGTGATGGCACAATGAAATGCCATACCACTTCAGGGCTGTCTACCGCCAGACTTCTTCTTCTTCTTTTTTTATTAGATTTTATTTATTTCACAGAAAGAGCACACACACACTCTTGTGTATGAGTGGGGGAGGGGTGGAAGAGCAGAGGGAGAGGGAGAAGCAAACTCTCCACTAAGCAGGGAGCCTGCCACAGGACTCCATCTCAGGACCCCAGGATCATGACCTGAGCCAAAGGCAGATGCTTAACAAACTGAGCTACCCAGGCGCCCTCAGACTTCTTTTACATGAGAGAGAAAAATGCTCATGTGACTTGAGCTTCTATTATTTAGCTTTTATGTTATACGTACTCAAACTTAATTGTAACTGATTCAGATGATTTTCCTTGACATTCTTCCTAGGTGCTTTTCCTACCGCCTTCACTGTTCCTTCTAAGTCTCCTTGGTCTCTAAGTCTTTTCCCACCCCTTAAAAATAGGTATTCTTTAAGTATCCTTACAACAGAATACGGCTCACCAATAAAAAGGGACAAACAATGGATACACGCAACAACAGAAATAAGTCTTAGAGGCATTGTGCCAAGTGAAAGAAGTCAGACACCAAGGAGCATATCCTGTATGGCTCCATTTACGTTAAGTTCTAGAACAGACCAAACTACCCTATGGTCGAAAATAAAAAAAGGGGGACGCCTGGGTGGCTCAGTCATTAAGCTTCTGCCTTCAGCCCAGGTCATGATCCCAGGGTTCTGGGATCGAGCCCCACATTGGGCTCCCTGCACGCCGGCGAGCCTGCTTCTCCCTCTCCCTCAGCCTGGTGCTCCTGCTCCCCCTGCTTGTGTTCACCCTCTGTCAAATAAATATATAAAATCTTAAAAAAAAAAAAAAAAGAAGAAGAAGAAAAGAAAAGAAAAAGGAAAACAGTGGTTACCTCTGGGGTTGGGGTAGAGACAGCAATTGACTGTAAGGGGCACAGGGAACTTTCTGGGTGATAGAAATGTTCTATATCCTGGGATGCCTGGGTGGCTCAGTTGGTTAAGCATCTGACTCTTGATTTCAGCTCAGGCCATGATCTCAGAGTCATGGGATCGAGCCCTGCGTCGGGCTCTGTGCTCACTGGGGAGCCTGCTTGGGGACCCTCTCCCTCTCCGTCTCTCCCCCTCTTGCGTGTGCAGTCTCTCTCTCTAAAATAAATAAATAAATCTTAAAAAGAAAGAAAGAAATGTTCTGTACCTTGAGAGAGATTTGGGGTACATAGGTGGATGCATTCATCACCTTTGTGAAATATACTTAGGATTTGTGCATTTTACTAAACACTGAACTCTGATTAATGATATTCATGCTTAAGTGTTGAAGTGAAGTGTGCTACTATCTGAAACACATACAAAACAAGATGGGTTGATGATGCTCAAAGAAATGGAGAGATGTACGATAAAGCAAGTATAGAAAACAGAAAACATCCAAAAAATACAGATAATTATAGATTCTAGATGGTGGGTACATGGGTATCCACTGTAAAATTCTTTTCTCTTTTTTTTTTTTTTAATTTAAAGTAGGCTCCAGGGGCACCTGGGTGGCTCAGTGGGTTAAAGCCTCTGCCTTCAGCTCAGGTCGTGATCTCAGAGTCCTGGGATCGAGCACCTCATCAGGTTCTCTGCTCAGCAGGGAGCCTGCTTCCTTCACTCTCTCTGCCTGCCTCTCTGCCTCCTTGTGATCTCTGTCAAATAAATAAATAAATAAATAAAATCTTTAAAAAAAATAAAATAAAATAAAGTAGGCTCCACACCCAACTCCATGTCATGAACTCAGGAACTCACAACCCTGAGATTAAGATTCACATGCTCTACTGACTGAGCCAGCCAGGTACCCCTCGCTGTACAATTCTTTATGCATTTATGTATGTTTGAAAATTTTTGTAATAAAATGATGGGGAAAAATTGGTGCTCTCCAAGCTTCTGTCACCCTCTCCCAAATTTTATTTACGTGCCAGGGAGAGGTCTAAGCCGTATACCCATCTTTCTTTTTTTTTTTTTTTTAAAGATTTTATTTATTTATTTGACAGACAGAGATCACAAGTAGGCAGAGAAGCAGGCAGAGAGAGAGATAGGAGGAAACAGACTCTCCGCTGAGCAGAGAGCCCGATGCGGGGCTCGATCCCAGGACCTGGGATCATGACCTGAGCTGAAGGCA